CATGGAACTCGAAAACGTAATTGATGAGGCCTCGTATCCTAGCTAGGATACGGGAACAAAACGCGGGAAAACAAGCGAAAACTGTTTGACAAGCCAAATTCAGATGAACAAAACGCGGGAAAACAAGCGAAAACTGCTTGACAAGCCAAATTCAGATGCTATTGTGTCGACTTTAACGGCTTGTTTCTTGTTGCTTTTTGCGATTTATAACGATTTTTGTGTGTATTTTAAGACTTTGTTCCCACAACGAAAGCGGTAAACGAGTATATTATAAAAGCGACCGGTTTTCAGTCCCGTTTTTGTGTGGAAAAAATGACAACGTAGCGATGGTGTTTATCCAGAAGCGAAAAACAGTATTTTACTGAGATTTTAACGTCAATATAAAGGTTTATTCCGTGAAGAATCAAGACAACTATGGAATGGAAGTATAATTTTTCGAATTTGACATAAATATGAAAGAAAATAACAGTCCAAAATCACAAGAGAACGTCAAATGTTATTGATTCGTACGGAAAAATATGAACTAATGACTGTGGCTCGATAACATTCTGCAAGCAGCTTACAAGTTTAAAAAATAAAGGCTACATTACCTGAGTGAGTTGTAATCTTATTTCTTCAACAATTGTTTCATATTTCTTACGATTTTGGTGTTGTATAGACGTTTTGTAGCCTTGTTGGTTGTTTGTTTCAGCCATACAAACTACGACAATAATACAAAGTCAAAGGTTTCCTTTTTCGATTGACTCCAGCATCTTTTGCTTTAAATATCATGTTATATTATCTCAGAAGTATTTTTTTCAACTTTCAAGCTCAGTTTTATAGATATATTTTTGAAAAAAGCCGTAATATTCATGAAAAAAGGCTGCCATACCCGACCAGTGTAGCCGACAGCAGAAAAAACATTTTGTCAATTTTCCCGCGTTTTGTTCCCGTTTCCTAGGATACGAGGCCTCATCACGATTTATGAATAAGATCTATTGTTCGTATCAAATGATCACGAATAGCATCGTCTTCGTGATCTGCGTCTTCACATTTCTTTGCAATCGGTTTCGTATCTTCGCGTAATATTCAGCTAATCTTTCAGAGCTTTGTTGTTTCAATTCGCTGAGTTGAAAATATTCCCAGATAAGAACAAAGGAAACCGGGCAGGGTGAAAAATAAATATAGGATATTAGACGGTTGCGAAGAGATATGGATTTCATGTTCGAGCGGCAAAAACAATATCTCACGAGTGAGCGCAGCGAACGAGTGAGATATTGTTTTTGACACGAGAACATAAATCCATATCTTCTCGCAACCGTTTAATTTTCTGTTTAATATGGACTTACTCAGAGTGACAAAAAGACACACAAAGACGACATGTAAATAAGCACGCGAAAGACTAGTATAAAAGCGATATTTTTTAAAATTATATAGTGCAAACATAAAACTAGAATAAATTTTACTTATCTCAAGATGTCTTTTAAATGTTTTCGTTTTATTTCCAACGTTAATTTCGTTTTATATACGAACCAAAGACCATTTGTATTTTCAAAACAACAACAATGATAATGGCGGGAAATTTTCAGAACTTCGTATGTCACTAGCAGGGGTGAAATACGGAAAATACGCGCACCTGGCCCCGGATGTAGTGACGTATGAGTTCTACGAGTGTTTTAGTTTCCAGTAAAACACCATTGTCCATATAATAAAACAATATAATAATAATATACAAGTGACGAGTATGTCCGACGTGTGACGAGTATGTCCGACGATGAGTGACGAGTATGTCCGACGACCTCCGAAAGGCCTTCGAAGTTTTTACTCTTGTGCAATCGAGTGAGATAATCATCACTTATTTACTGAGACCGAGGGAAACAGTGTGTTTTGTGGACCCGAGACCGTCGATGTTTCCCGAGGCGAAGCCGAGGGAAACATCGACGGTCGAGGGTCCACAAAACACACTGCTTTCCCGAGGTCTCAGTCAATAAGTGTTTTATTATATATCAATAGTCAAAGAAACAACAAATTAAAGAACAAATGAACGTAAATACATGAAATATTTTATTGTTAAAACGTTATATTAAACACTGGCTACACTGCAGTTACTTAAAGCGAAAGTTTTAATTACGTACTAGGCATGTCCAAAGGTCGCATCTTTACGTGATGGCGCACGTGATTTTTTTGTTACTAGTTCACCGGTCGATAACGTATTATCTCCCTCTCGCGCTGTTGCGAGAGAGACAGCCTAATTTCGTCACTCTCACGTGATATGCTCTCAACCCGTAAAACACTAGAAAAATGCGACTTTGACTATTGATATATAATAATATTTATTGATTATCGTGTATCATGTTCTAGCTAGAAACAGCGCGAGTGCATTTGATGACGAGGCGGTGGTTACGCTTTTTTGACTGAGTCGGCTTTCGGAAAAGGGACAGTATATGGTCTCTATCATGTGCCGCCGGTGCATGAAAAGTCCTGA